GGGGGGTGCAGGGCGGGAAGGATGTTGTCGTGTTGTCGAAGAAGGAAAACCATTGCACGCTCTCGAGTAAAAAAAGTAAAGGCCAAGCGTTGCACCAACTCTGCGCGGGCCAACCCGGGCCAACCCACCTGCGGTTGGCTCAGAGAACTCGGTTGGCTCATGATAATCTATTAATAGTTTTTTCTATGCCTGGTGGTCTTCTTTAGTGAAATAGAATGGGACTCCAAATACTTTTCTATGAAACACAAAATTTCCGTTGAACGAGAGAAACGTTAATAATATTTATTTACAGCTTTGCTAAGTCAAAGAAATTTGTCTGTTAGTAGTTAATCCTTAAACAAATTTAGATACATAACTGAAGTAATAAAAGTGCCGAAAACCTGGACAACCTATTACAAGAATAGCAACATTATTTTGGGATCAATGCAGCGGAAGTGAGGACGCTTCTCGAATGTTCGTGTATCTTCGGCTACAATCGCCAGCATTCGTGCCAGTTCGCGGTGTTTTGTGCGGACGTATAAAACATTCTTGACAACTGTTGACCTCAGATTTTCAGAAGTTTTGTGAACTCCGAGAAGAGGACATTTAAATCTTTTCTCGTTGTGTGAATTTCATACAACGCTTCAAGTGAATAACAAGCGAACAGTCTTGATTCGCAGTGTGCAGTGGTGAAAAGCAGATCAAGTCTTGTGAGTGCCACTTTTGGACTTCACTTTGCCTTGTTTTACTTCGTGTGAACGCAGAGAGGTAAATATGGGGAAAGATTACTACAAGGTTCTTGGCATCGCCAGGGGTGCTTCGGAGGAGGAGATTAAAAAGGCCTATCGTAAAATGGCTTTAAAGTATCATCCGGACAAAAACAAATCTCCAGGTGCTGAGGAGAAATTCAAGGAAATTGCTGAAGCTTACGACGTTCTAGGTGATGCTCAAAAGAAGGAAGTGTACGATAGGTACGGAGAAGAAGGCCTGAAGGGAGGAATGAGCGGTGGCCCGCCGTCTGGAGGCGGCAGTCGTGGTGGAAGCCACAGTTACACCTTCCATGGAGATCCACACGAAACCTTTAGAATGTTTTTTGGCAACGAAAATCCGTTTGAGAGCTTCTTCAGCTTTGGTGGCCCCCAGAGTCATGGTGGCGGTATGGGGCGGTCTCCTTTCTTTCAGTTCCAGAGCAGTGGTCATGACGATATGGACGTAGATGACCCGTTCGGTCATCATATGTTTGGTGGGCAGAGTTCGCGTCCGAAACGTCAAGATCCAGCTGTTGTCCGAGAGTTGCTCGTATCATTAGAGGACATACTGTCGGGTACGACGAAGAAACTCAAAATCACACGCAAAGTCTTGAATGCAGATGGTCGAAGCTCTCGTACTGAAGACAAAATCCTGACCATTGACATTAAACCCGGTTGGAAGGCAGGTACCAAGATCACGTTCCCAAAGGAAGGTGACCAGACACCTCATAGTGTCCCTGCTGATGTTGTGTTCATTATCAAAGACAAACCCCACCCTCTCTTCACAAGAGACGGTAATGACGTTAGACACAAAGTGCGTATATCTTTGAGAGACGCTTTATGTGGTGCCACAGTTCAAGTGCCAACCCTCAGTGGTCGTAGAATCTCTCTGCCATTGAATGACGTTGTAAAGCCAACTACTCAGAAGAGGGTTCAAGGAGAAGGACTTCCAGTACCCAAAAATCCCCTGAAGCGAGGGGATTTGATTGTGGAGTTTAATGTTGTGTTCCCAGACAAAATACCTCAAGCAACGAAGGAAATTCTGAAGGACTGTATTCCACCTTCTTAAAGTGTTCAAACTTTTGAAAGTGTTAGACAACAGTACATCGATGCTTGAAGTGTAAATATGTGCAGTTGTAAATATTTGCAATCGTGTAGATCGCCAGGTGCGTGGAGTACATGTCACTTGTGATGTAAATTTTGTGGATCTTCAACAAGACCTAATGAGGGTGTAACTCGTCATTTCGTCGCACGGTCATCTCGTCACACGGTCATCTCGTCACGCCCCAATTATGTGTGACAAAATGACTTTGCTTTATATCTCTCCAAAATTGAAATTGTTTTATGCTAGAATCTAGATCTAGATCTAGATCTACATCTAGTAGATCTACTAGACTTTGACGATTGGTCTGAAACTTTTTTTTGAGTTATATATATAAAACTTATTAATCATGTAGGCTAAATTAAATCTTTGAAATGTCCAAACTGTTCCATGAGAGATCTAGATCTAGATCTAGTTGAACAATAGTTTCAATAAGACATAAACAATGTCTGGTAAAGAGTTGATAAAAGGCTTTGTTTGAAAGTAAGGTAGGTTTCAGGTTTTAGCACAATTACAGTACCGTGGCGTACATTTCTAAATAAGCTAATTTATTTTGAACAACTAGTTCTAGATCTAGATATGATCTTGCCAATCACACCTTTCATCAATCTAAAACCTTTGTTGATCTGACTCGATAGCTTTCAATATTGTCAATAATGATGTATATTTATGAATGATGTAGCTGATCAGGAAGGCCCGACGACTCGCACAGCCCCAACCCTCCCCCAAAAATTGTGATTTGCGATTGCCAATTGCCATGACAATGCGCATTTGATGTAAGTGTGCTACGAAATGACCGTTTCGATTCAATCTTGTGGATTTGGGTTGTGATGAGATGACAGTGTGACGTCTTGACTGCACCGGTGTGACGAAATGACTGGTATTCGCTATGACTCATGACTATGAGCTATGGAATGGACTGCTACATTATCTTGCAGTTGAAAGTCTATTTAGGCAGACTATCTTCTGTGAAGATTATTTTTGAGAATCGATTCAAGCACTAGATCTAGATCTAGATTTGTTACAGGTTCTACACACATCAACATTTTTTAATCATTAGTCTTCATCAGTTTCCTGTTGGCTCCCTCCCATCTTTCAAAATAATAATTTTGTAACGGCAGTAGTCCGAAGAAGACTTTTCTATATATCGAGAGGAGTTCCGCAGAGGGCCGGCACTTACCGTGACAAGGTCCACTGAGTTGAGCAAACTATACAAGCGTGAGGGTTAGGGACAGGGTTAGGGTTTAGAGTTAGGGTGAGGGTATACCCCGCTCAAATCCCCTCTTTTGTGTGTTGTTGGTCGGCCGGCCCTCTGCGGAACTTCTCCTATAATCTCTTACTAAGGTGTGGAGGAGCCTAAACCTGCATTAATTGAAGGCAACATGAAATTTATGCTTGTTTGGTGTGATTAACAACAGATATATTCTACCAACAACATATTGAATGTTTGTAATGATTCTGGTTGAATAGCAATGCTATGATTAATTTTTCAACTTCAGGAATGAATGTGAAGGGCGATTGAATTTTCAGAAGTCTGCCAGTAACATGATGAGAGATCTGGGTTGGATTTTCTTTAGTACTGCTCTGTGATAAGGAACTACATTGATTTTGATTTCTCTGTAAAATTTATTAAGTTTTTTGTCTTGTTTTTCACAGAAGTTTTGCTAATTATGATAGGATTTCAATCTGTGAAGTCGAAGTGAACCCCCATGAAGTGTTTTGGCTGTCTCGTCATGCATGATGTGGGTGCTCTTCTTATTAGTCCTACACCCCTTTTAGTTTTTTGTTAGGTGGTCTTGTAATCTAAGCATTGACATTGTACTTCTTGTACAAAGTTATAATTGTAACAAGGTTGCTTCTCACTGTACTGTTGTTGTTTAGTTTTTGACAGTTTGAAACAACATCACATGGATGTTGACCCGTGGAACCCTGTTCGTTAGATTGGCTACGGTACTGATGTTGATGTGGTGTCACAAAGTGCCATCAGTCAGAAATTTATTTCCTTTCAAAAGTTGATTGGGAAGATTGATATGATGGTGCCTTTTTTTTTCTCCCAAAATCATGTAACTTACAGTGAAAGTTTCACAAATTCAATTTAAGACTCTTGACCCATTCATGCAAGTGTAGCAAGGTAGAGGTTTTGGTATTTTTGCAAGTTACAAATGCTGATTCAGCTCAATCTTGACTAGAAGATACTGTTGGTTTGTTTGGCTTTTTAGTTCATTTTCTTGTAGTTGTTCCTGTTGATCAGTGTAGTAGTTGACTCAACAGTCTTGCATAATTTTGAATTGAGTAATGCAGTCTGTGAAGAGCAGGAGAAACAAGTGACAGCTGAATTCTAGTGTATACAGTGGAGTAGGCTTTTAACGGTTTAACCTGAGCACTGATGATGTACTGAAAACGGCGATAAACTGAAAGAAAATAAAATCCCTGCGTTTTTCACTTTTATTTGAGCAAACTCTCTAAACCTTTAAAACCAAAAACCCAGTAAAACGTTACAAAATCAGGTGGCCCTGCAGATTTCAGTTAAAGTCGACTCCATTGTATAGAGGGTCTATTTATATGTGTGTATGTATTCAATTATTCAATGATTCCATTTCAATGACAAGAATGCAGCTGGTACCAGAAATGCTAACCTAACAATAACATAGGGAAATAATTAGTCATAATGTTTCGTTCGAGTTAATTAACAAAGCAGCAGCTTAGTGAGTATTTATAATTTATTTGGTTTCATTGTGTAAATATTTGAGGGCACAATTGAAATACTTTGCGTTTATCGCTCAGGTGAAGGTCACTTCTGTCTGTCATACTGACATGGTTATTGGTCCATCCCAGAAAAATGTCATTACTGTTACTATTTCAGTTGAGTGTGGCAAAGACGTCAGGGTAGGACAAAAATGTGTTTGTCGCATCCATTATAATGGTGATTCGGGTAAACCGATCAAAATATCAAATAGCCTAGATATCAGTTGGGGGATGGAAAATTAGAGCTTTCTAGTTTTCTGTGTTGATGATATAATATAGGCTATGTCTCCGACTGTAAATTCACACCCGAGGATTTACGTACCTGTTTCGTCTTGCTCTTTACTTGTGCTGGTGTTTCTGTGGTTGCAGATGCTTTGTATTTGTTTCAACACCGTGTAGTTTTTGTTTGCTTTTTGCTTTCCCTTTGTGGATTATGAAAAAAATTGAAGCTAAAGCTTCAAGCATAGTGTACATGTACATTGATTACATGTTATTAAGAACACAGACCTTGTTTTTTTCCATGTTGGCCAGTGACTGTAACTGTAACACAAAATTTTATAAAATACTGACTGCTTCATGTGCAATTTATGATCTCGTCACCTTTCACTCTCGCTTTTGACTTTTTGTCTTAAACTGTAACTGGGACTCCTTTTATGTACAATATTTCTTGTGGAAACAATAACTTTTTCAAATTTTATTAGTTTTTGGTGAGAGGAGTAGAAAGAAAAAATCAGACAAAAACTAGCACACTCCACTGTCTTTCATTCTGCAACTTACAAGTATTCATAATTTGTTACTTTATTTTTGTGTAAATTTTAATTGAGGACTGAAAGTGGGTTACAACAAGCGGGAAACTGCTCTTTGGTTGGTTGAGTGAAAAAAAGTTCGTGTGTATGAGGATTGTATGTGTGTGTGTGTGTGTATGTATGTTTGTTTTGTAAAGAGAGAAAGATATTATCATTCTGAGAAAATGGTTGTGATGAAAATGAAAAAGGTTGATTTCTCCGAAAACTTTGTCAAATGGTCGTGAGTTTGTGCTCTTTTCCCATAAACTCCGGTGCTGTTGTGATATAAGCGTTTCAGATATAATGCAGTATAGTTAGTCCGTATTTTTATGTCCTTGAACAAAATTCTCATGATCATGTGATGGATGAATGATCTATTCTGTTTTTAAACATTTGTTTGTTTGACAGCAGTGTTATTTGTGTAGTCTCCCACATGACATGTCATATTTATTGCTCATTGAAGACGATACAGATCCAGACTACGTTGCTTTTGTAGTCATAACCAGTTGTTCTCAATGTGAAGAAAACATGAGGACACAGTGTAGGGGAGGGACTCTTCCAAGAATGCAATATGTGCCTATTGATACTGTTATTAAAATCAATATTATATTTCACAAGTGTCTTTTATAGTTTCCTGTGCAGCATGAATACATGTGTGTATGGAGTGTTGTATGGAGTTATAATGGCTGTTCTGTTCAATTGGTTCAGAGTGTGGGCGGTTGACTGGTGCTCTGGTGTGGTGTATGCTCCTTCTTTTCTATCAAACTACCGTTGTCTTTATCTCCTCCTCCTTTTTTATGTGTTGGTTACTCTCTTGTGACACCTCGAATCTTCAGAACTTATATATGACCTTGTGTTGCAATTGCAAGTGCCATAAAACTCTTGCTGTAAAACTATAAAACTCTGTGATTGTATTGTCTTGCCATGGGTGGTTGGACTTGGAGGTTGAGATTACTATTTCACTCCGAGCTTTCTGTCTGTCAAGTTTTCTTTTCCTTGCTGAAATGACCACTGTGGCTTTGATGTGTCTCTCTTTGCTGAACCAAATGTTTGTCCCGCAGTGCAACCACTGAATCAGTCAGAATGAATGAGGTTTCAGTCGCATAAAAAATTCTGTCTTCTATTGTAAAAAAAAAAGTGGAGGTTCTTGCTATGATGGAAGCTATGACATGATTTGGGTAGAGAAGTTTCCAGAAAGGCATCCATTACTATCCCATTTACGATTTGGTACTTTACTCATTTGTGCAAAGATTCTGTTTGTACAAAATGCATCAATCAAAATTGCATCTTTTTGAGTAATTGAAGATGGAGGGCATTTTCTTTTCAACTTTTTAAGTAAGCCTGATTTTCCAACTTTTACTTTTATATTATATATATCCAAGTACTGAGTGACTTGAGCCTCATTCGAAGTTTGACTGGTTGCAGAACTTTTTTCACTAGTTGTGACTAAATTAAACTAAAAGTAAGGTGTCATATTTTATATTGATAGCACCATTATTGGTGGCTGAGGTTTCCCTGGCGTCTGTGTGGTAGTGGTAGTTGTAGTGATAGTGGTAGTGGTAGTGGTAGTCTTGTGATTGCTGCCGACTTCCTCCCTGTGGTGGAGCTAGAATGTGTGGTTCAGCCATGAGGGCAACCCACGATTTCGCATATGACTGAAATGAAGTGTTCATCTATGGTACCGGTACCAACTATAGATAGACATAAATAAGCCTTCATATACTGCAGTGAGTGGTTGTGAGTGCTCTGGTGTGGTTTGCTTCTTCTTTCCTATCTAACATCTATCGTCCAGTTCTCTCCTCTTTTTTGTGTTTGTTACTCTCTTGTAACTCTTAATCTTTTGCGCTTATATGACCTTATTGTGTTGCAAGTGCCGTAAAACACTTACTAAAACTAAAAATATGTTACTGCAGACACACACAATCAGTGGGTGGTTGTCAGGTACTCTGTTATTGTTTGCTTCTTCTTCTATCCTCCTGATCTGTCGTTCTTTTTTGTGTTTCTTACTCTCTTAAAACACCCCTAATCTTTGACACTTATGTGACCTTATTGTGTTGCAAGTGCAGTAAAAACATTTACCTTACGTTAAAAGACACAATCTGTCAGGTGTTGGCTAGGCCTTGGGAGTCAGGGACTCCAGTACGTACACATGCAAGAGGAAAGTGAGGGTTAAAAGTAGCTCAGTGCTGCAGTAAGTGTAAGGGTTAAAATATTCCCAACAAGGTGAAGAGTCGAACCATTTTCCAACAACTAGAGTAACAACTGACTTGTTTGGAATGAATGAGACTGTTTAGAGATAGGCCTACTCGATAAAAATTTTTCCCTCGAACCCGTGTCTTCTGCAGGCTAGGAAAGAGCCTAACCACTACATCATCATATGAATATGTGATCACTTGATTCAATTGATTGAATAGGCTAGCGTCAAGATATTAATATTTATTACATACTTTTAATTAAGTGAAATTAAGTCAGGTTAAAAAAAGTTTGATCAGAATGGTAGCCTACAATGCATAGTTACAATAGTAGGCTCTAGGATAGGTTTCAACAGTGTAAGTTACAATACAAGAGGGGACATTTCTCGTTCAAGTGCAGTAGAAAATGGGCTGACTCATGTCACGCTCATAACTGTGCCTGATCTACAACAGGGAACTGCTGCTTTTTCTTTCCTAATCCTTACTATTGTCATTTTCCTCTACTTCTTTTGTATGTTTGTCACTCTCTTGTGACCTGCTATTTCCGGGGTGCCTTGATAGTCGAAGCAGACTTTGTGCTGTTGAGGCAAGAGAGGTGGGCAGAGTAAGTCTGATTCCCTGTAAAGACTTCTCTGCTGACACCCACCCCTTGGCGCTCATATGACCTTATGCAGTTGCGAGTGACGTAAAACCTTCTACTATAATAATAATAATAAATCTTACAATACATGATCGAGCCAAGTAGACAGTGGTAGAGGGATGCTTGAAAAATTCCCAAACAACCCATGTTCGAACCAGAGTCACTTGAGTGAGTGGTTGGCGGGTGCTCTGGTGTGGTTTGCTCCTTCTTTCCTATTACTATCAAACATCTATCGTCCTGATCTCCCCTCCTTCTTTTTTATATATGTTACTCTTTTGTAACACCTCTTATCTTCTGGCGCTCATTCATATGACCTTATGCAGTTGGGAGCGCCGTAAAACCTCTACTAAAACTAAACAAAAAAGAGTCACTTGCACCACAGCTGACCATGATACCATTACAGTCATCATCAATGCCTTTCACCCCTGGCAAGGTATAGGCCTCATCATACAAGCTCCTTCCATTTATCTCTGTCATGGGCCATCCTTCCAAGCTCGTTCTAAGCTAAGTGAGCTTCATCTCTCTCATGTACCATTCAGTACTGAGTTAATTATTGTTAATAAAAATGGCATGCTTAGTTCAGTTACAATTACATGTAGTAGGCTATATGTAGTACAATTTCACCACTGGCTAAAGGACGCTACCATCAGCGGAAGTTCTGAATGACACAAGAGCCAAAAGTACGAGTTTCAGTTTACCTCGTATATTTACTTGTAAATGAGAAGCTCATCATTTTACTGGCCGTTTTGTAGGGCTGTCCCCGTGGTTTTATGCACCCAGCATAATTTAGCAAAATTTGATCATTTTTTGCATAATTCCTGATTATTTTCTTTTAAGTATTTTAACATTATTAAAATTAACAGAATCACATAATTTCACATTTTTGGGCTCAGTTTGCATAATTTCAGAATTTTTTTTGCATAAAATCGTGGGGACAGGTAGGGAAGTGAAAGAGCTGCGCACTTTAGAAAAGCGAGTATGGTATGAAAGCCACACACTATCACTATCAGAGCTGCGCCCTTTTAAGTGATACTGGTACATGTATTCGATAACCAATACCATCCAAAGATTTAATTTCTGTCACTAAAAGTTTCACTGGGCTTGGGACCATTTCTGTCGACCCTAAATGTGAAGTTTTCTTCGATGTCCTCACTATCTGTCTGAGTAGTACGGTACCGGTACTACGCTTTAACTTTAACCTTGTGTCAACGTATTTTGAATGAGGGTGGGTGGTTGGCGGGTGCTCTGGTGTGGTTTGCTTCTTCTTTCCTGTCAAACATCTATCGTCCTTATCTCCCCTTCTTCTTTTTTATGTTTGTTACTCTCTTGTAGCAGGTCTAAGTCTAATCTTCTGGCACTCTTATGACCTTGTGCAGTTGCGAGCGCCATAAAACTTCTACTAAAACTAAAAACTTGAATGAGGGAGGAATGTGAATGATGAAGGTACCGTACTTAAACAGTCAGGGAGTTAAACTAAAGTTACTCAGTAACTTAAGTCTTCTTTAAAAAGTTTAAGAAATGTTCTCCACTGCAGATGGTCAGTCTGGCATTGGCGGACAATCACAAACTAATACAATGTACTATTTTTGTTATTACTTAAACAGTACCCAGTAAACTTTACGTAAGCTGTTCTCGTGGTTTTATGCACCCTGCACAATTTAGCAAAATTTAATAATTTTTTGCATAATTTCTGATTATTTTCCTTTCTCATTCTTTGTTAAAATTAACAGAATCGCATAATTTCACATTTTTGGGCTCAGTTTGCATAATTTTAGAATTTTTCTTATATAAAACGACGCGGACAGCTTAAGATGTGAAGATGGAAACCACCTTCCTGAAGACTACAGAGTCTTTCAAATTCCCAGTCAGCTCCATGCCTCCTCCTACTTCTACTCCTAGAGGCTCACACTCACACTGTGTCAGGGGTTGTGAAATTGAAATTGCATAGCTTTCCTGCTCCTTGCAACACTTATAAGTGGTTAGTTGGCGGGTGCTCTGGTGTGGTTTGCTTCTTCTTTCTTATCAAACATCTTTCGTCCTTATCTCTGCTCCTTCTTTGTTGTGTTTGTTACTCTCTTGTAACACCTCTAATCTTCGGCACTTATATGACCTTATTGTGTAGAAAGTGCCGTAAAACACTTACTAAAACTAAAAAGACTAAAAAGCAACACTTATCAGGGATCTACAGTGTCTCACTCACATAAATAGTGCACCACAGTACATTCAAATACAGGAATTGTGGAATAGGATAAGCCAAGCTCCCCTGCTTTGATGAAACAAATTGGAATTAATGGAAAACAGACTCTTTGAAGTTTAGACATTAATGAGCAACCACATTGTGCTGTGTAAGTTAACCCTATCCGTACGTTGTGTTTTACTATCGTATCCATGCGACGTGAGGAACTCTGTGCCACCACTTAACCCTATCCGTACGTTGTGTTTTACTATCGTATCCATGCGATGTGAGGAACTCTGTGCCACCACTTAACCCTATCCGTACGTTGTGTTTTACTATCATATCCATGCGACGTGAGGAACTCTGTGCCACCACTTTCCAAAGAGGAAATTTACTCGTTAATCCTATCCGTACGCTTTGCAATGCAGTCTGTCAAAATGATTTTTTGAGAAATACTGAAAGTTACTTCTAAATTGTGAAGAATACAACCCCGGGGGTACAAAATGACCCCAGGGCGTACGGATAGGGTTGAAAAGAAATTATGCAATGTTTTAAACCTTTCGTTTCCACAACCTGAATGAAGGGCATGGTTGGGAGGTAGTGTGGGAAAGGGTCAAGGCATGTGTGCCCCTAGAAGACAGTATCTCTCTATGATGACATAGTCTATGCTTAAACCATTATCTAGTGAAGGAGGAGAAAGTTTCAAATTTAATGGAGTGTTTATGATAATTATATTACATTGTATTATGGTTGCTTTTAAGCACAAGGGGGCTATCCTGAAAAATGCTGTTTTGAGAAAATCGAAGGTAAAGTTTTTGCCCCTTGTTTAGTTTCTTTTAAAGACAAGGAGAGTTTTTTAATATAACCGAACAAATATAGATCTACACACCAATGAAGCCAAACTTCTCCTATAGGTAGGACAATGCCCACTTTTGGTGTAGGTCAAGATTTCTGGAAACCCCCGGAATCTGGGTTGGCCTGCTTGTCCTTAAAAGCGACCATATCTAAGTGATGTGCCCAAGAAAATCCAAGCAATTGAAAAAAAACCAATGAGGATTTTAAATCTGTAATCTTTTAATTTGATTTTTATACAACATAATTATACAACATAGTGCAACAATTCTATTCAGAACAGGGCAAGGTGACTGAATCAAAGTGAACACATTGTTCAACCATTACTATTTAACTATTTATCAACAACCACATTCTTGTAGTATGAACATGAACATCTGTACAAATGTAAAACTGATGACACTACAAGAGAAGCTGTACGGGCCGACTGATGAACTGAGCAGGACAGCCCAGTATATGATAGATACCGGACTTCAAGTGATGAGATTGAGAAGAAAAAGAAGAAGAAGAAGAAGAAGAAGAAAAAGAAAAAGAAGAAAAAGAAGAAGAAGAAGAAGTAGAAGAAGAAGAAGATAAATCTGATGGGAGGAGGCAGGAGAGGGATCGCGATCTAAACCGTTTGCCTTTGTTCCTCGTGGGAACGGTGGTGGAATGCGAATGTGATTGAGGATTCCCACGCTCCTTTGAGCAAAACATCCTCCAGGCCTTTCTTGTCTGCCGAATGGTTCCACTGAGACAGGTCCGAGTTACAGTCGCTGCCTTCTGGCGGAGCTTTCACCTGGATGTTGTTCACACAGCGACGACACTTGAACCTACGAAGAAATAAGTTTTTTTGTAAAAAGTTTTTTTTTTAAAGTAAGAGATTTACGGCACTTGCAACACACACAAAAAAGAAGGAGGGGAGATCAGAATGATAGGTGTTTGATGAGCACCTGTCAACCACCCACGGAAAAGTTTGCGGTTTTAGTTTTATCAGTAAAAATGACGATGTGATAAATGTTCATGTTTCATGAAGTTCAGATCCTCTTCTTAAGTTAAAAGTGCATACAATGTCAAAAACACACGGCAATAAGTTACACAGCAATCATGCAGAACTTAGAGCAAAACGAGAAAACAAAGAATATAAGACATAATAAGACATAATTCAGGACCTAAAATCTGCTTTGGCATGTTTTGCTTTTAAAACCGTTTGTCATGTCGTCGCCCCAGAACTATTTTGTCCAAAGTGCCTCTTTACTTAAGTACACTTTGGACAAAATAGTTCTATGGCGACGATGTGCGTGCTATACTCAGGGATGCCACTCAACTTTTAAAAAAATAGCTGAAAATCTGCGTGCCGCGTTTTCGCTAACATATTTATGAATATCAATTTGAAACCCAAAGGGTGTACATAGAGAGAAATGACTTGCTGAGATTAGCGCAAATCTTCCGGGTTTTTTTCCCCACCGTTATTTGAACTTATAGCGAAGTCTTCGGTTTTCCGTTATTTGAACATTTGTTGCAAGTTGTGTGTTCTTTTTTTTCCTAACTATAGATTCTATTTCGATCTCAATAACTGAATAGCGGATCAGGATCAAAATACCGGAACAAAGCGGAAAAGTGGCATCCCTGTATACTGTAATTATGCATGAGGACAAGCATACTTATAAAGCACAGGTAGTGTAAAAGAATACAAACATAGAAAGTTCATCCGACAATGTCCGTGAATCTGCAGAGGAGAATATTTCTTAAAGAGAAATTGAAGAAATTAGGAGGATTGTGACAATTTGTGGCTTCTGTTGTGGCTAATGAGACCAATTCTGGCAGAGAAGAGGTTGTTTAAGAGCTTCGTTTATACTTGTGGATGTATGCAGCTTGCCGGCTACTCTCTTGGCTTCTTGCTAGTGAAGTACAAATCGATAATATCACAGAGATTTGGCTAATGCCTCACTCAAGGGAGATCATTCAGACAGGGGAAACCACCAGAACCCCCTTTTCTAAACTGGGCACTGGTCTTTATAAAACCGAAAGTCGCGACACTCTGGAGTTAGAAGTGCGTCAATTTTTGGGCAAATTGAGTTAGTTAGTAGTAGGCTATTATCTCGTTCATTTGTCTTGATTTTGATTTTAAAAATCCCCCCATCTTGAACAGAAGTCGAGAATTTGAAACTGAAGGCGGGGGTCGCCTAGTGTCAGATGTAAAATTATTGAGAAAATGGCCACCAGAGTTTGGTTATTTCCAAAGCTTGAGTGTCCTTGAAATCTGCATACATATTACAATTTTTTGTGCCTTTGATCAATGTTTTTTCAGTAGAATCCAGGCAGGAATATGTTATTAAATGTGAAGCAGCGTGGTGGAATCAGGCTCTCCTCAAAATAATGAAATCGAAGAAAACAGCAGTTTTCTTCCTGCTTAGCAATTTTTATCAAATTTTTGTTTTTTGGCTCAACACCTTTTATGTCCATTTACAAACGTATTCCTTTGAGGATTTCACCGAAAATGTTGATTAACTCACTTACGACTGGGCCCTTTCACCAGTCACAAGCGTTGCAGACTGGCGTTTTTGGGGGTATTTCAATAAATCACCACAACTCTCAGAATTACCCTATTGTAATTATTTTTTGACACAGTAAAGTAACATTCAAGCTTAATCTAATACAAAAAACGAAAGTTGTCTAAGTCTAATACTTTAATTTGTATGATTTTTTAAAAATTGGCATAATTTGATTTTCCGAAAAATTTCCAGAGACGTGACAAGTAGAATGAAATTCACTACAACAACAAAAATAAAAGTTCAGTGTTCTGGTTTGATTTGTTTACATGTGCGAGTGTTTGGTGAAAATATAAAAGCTGGTCTGTGCATTGATTCAGACCCATACACTGAATTACATGAGACAGATGTACGGCACGACGTTGTGATTTCGTTGCGCGAAAAACAACACCGGTACTAGTGCTAGATCTAGCCCTAGAACTACGGCTCGGGCCGTGTTCGGGTACATATCCAGGATCCTAACTATTAGACACATCATATTATGAGACACTAGAACTAGTAAAACGTACAGAAGTATAGAAAACGGCGAAATTATGTGATTCTTGTTCATGCGACTTCTTCGACCGTTACTACGACGCGACTGTCGGATTACTATCAGCTGTATAGAAAAAGACAAAACGTGAGTTCCGGTCTGTTCAACCCCAGTTGGGGTCACTGTCCTTCACCTTCAATAACTTAAAAACTACTGGCCCCAGAGGTACGAAACGAATTCTAAGTAGCTCAGGCTTGGCCAAACAAGGGTACGAGGCGGGTCTCGCGATCCGTGCGTGATTTGCAGAGCGGAAAAAAATTTCCAAAGTTGGTCACGCAGGGCTTGTGAGACCCGTCGCGAGCGTCGCGGCGGGGGTCACGCAACTGTTGTGTGAGCCGTCTGAAGTGAGCTAAAGGCACAAAAATATAAATTTACAGTTTCCATGGACTCTCCAGCTTTGGAATTTACCGAGCTTTGGCGGCCATTTTCTCGCTAATTTTATCTCGTAAATCAGGTGACCCCCACCTCCTTCAATCCAAAATATCTCCACTTCTATTGAAGATGGATGTGTAATTTTTTCATTGAATGGAAGACAAATGAACAAGCTGTAAGATGATACCAATAACTCAAAATGGACGAGAGCCTGACTCCACCAGGCTGCCGCACAAATGAACATAAAAGGCACTGAACCCAAAACAAACAAATTTCTATAAAAATTGCCAAACAGGCAGAAAAATGTTGGGCTCTCTGATTTCGTTATTTTGATGAGCGTCTGATTTCACCACAATGCCACACATAACTATGGCTGAGCGCAAGAAGTGACTATATATCCACTTTTCAGTTTCGAGAAAAATGAATTTGAAATTTTGACGATTTTGAAATCTCTATTATAACAAAATCAAAAAAGAAACGTTAATATTTCGACACCATGCTAAGCTACGGCTTAGATATTTACAGAGATAAAAGAGCGGCTTAAATTAAAATCTCACTACCTATATATCAATTACCCCATTTCCACCAAAAGTGGATATACATAATATAATCACTTCTTGCCCCCAGCCGTCGATATATATACGCATGCAGGTTCTCTGCTCTCTATGCTCTCACTTTCTTGAGGGAGGCATTGCGCTGCCAAGAGCGAAATGCTCGCAGCTAAAGATATTTGAAAACAACAACAACATGTTCTCACTTGTCGTGTGTGTCGCTGATGGTGTTCTCGTTGAGAGAAAAGAGCTCGCGCAGCTCCCCGAGGCTGAAGTGTCGCTCCACGTCCACCTCGTTGTCCACCACGCAGCTGCTGAGAGCCTTCTTGTGCGTCTGCCGCTGGAAGATCTTTTCCTCAATCGTGCCCGTCTGCGCGGCAACAGAGACAAACGTATGTGTGTCAAATTGACTTTTGGAAAAGTTGACCATGACACACTGAACTTGAGATTCAAACACAATTCTAGAGGCTTGTTTTTGTTTTGGGGGGGGTGTTTTTGTTATTGCTGTCGTTTGTTTGTTTCTTGCCTACCCTAAGATTAGGTGTGTGGCTGAAAGACAGCAGTAAGAAGGGGGTGTTGTGTATGTGTGTGTGTATGTGTATGAGTGTGGGTGGCTGGGTGGGGACATCCAATCATGACCAAAAATTGGAGTTTTTCTCGGAATTCTCTAAAAAAAAAATCAGAGTTTAAACTCTTGAAGGAATGTTATTTTTCATGAACAAAAAATAGCGATATAACATTAAGGACAAAGGGACCAGCCAGCCGTGGCACTCACAGCGATGAGCCTGTAGATGTAGCACTGTTTCTTCTGCCCGTCTCGCCAGCACCGCGCCATGGCCTGTTCGTCGTTGGCCGGGTTCCAGTCTGGGTCAAACATGACCAGTCTGTTGGCGCCGATCAGATTGAGCCCACAGCCGCCCGCCTTACTGCTCAGCATGAAGATAAACTCAGGACTCTGGGGGGGAAAAACACCAAAAAAAACATTTTTAAAAAACCTTCACTTTAAAAAAAGTTTTAATAAGAGCTTTCAAAATTAAATTTTTTTAGTAAGTATTTTACGGCACTTGCAGCACAATAAGGTCATATAACTTATAAGTGTTGAAGATTAGAGGTCTTAAAAGGGAGTAACAAACACAAAAAAGAAGGGGGGGACAAAGACGATAGATGTTTGATAGGAAAGAAGAAACAAACCACACTAGGGCACCCGCCAACCACACTTGCAACATTATAAGGTCATATAAGTGCTGAAGATTACAAGAGAGTAAAAGTAACAAAATATATAAAAAAGAAGGAGGAGAGATCAGGATGATTTGATAGGTGTTTGATAGGAAAGAAGGAGCAAACCACACCAGAGCACCCATCAACCACCCACTTTCCACTTACTGTCAAACCTCATTATATACTGCCTATCTTGGTATGAGTGTGAAGTTGGTTGAAAAGGAACATGCAAAAAGACAGTAGATCTACATTACTTGCTTGATCACTTTACACAAAAGCAGAAATATCACACGCACAACAGAAACACATGGTCTGATACACATTCATGGTAGCGTTGTGTGTGTGTGCGCGTGTGTCTCTCTCTCTCTTTGTATGTGTGTGTGTGCCTGACTGTCTGTCTGTCTCTCTCTTTGTGTGCGTGTCGGTGTCTCTCTCTCTTTGTGTGCGTGTGTGTGTGTCTCTCTCTCTTTGTGTGTGTGAGTGTCTGTCTCTGTATGTGTACATGTACGTGTGTTTGTGTGACATACCGACGGGTCGTTGAAGCGGTCCACAATCTTGGCCCTTTTCTTTATAGACATGGTGCCATCAAGCCTTACGTTCTGGTAGCTGAAACAAAAAGATACGATTCATTGTGGTTTACAGCGAGGATTATTACCTCCAAGTTTTACCATGCACAGATTCAGAAGGCTAAAAAGAAGTAGAAAGAGCAGACCACACTAGAGGATTACTCCTCGCGGGCAGTAGTGCATACAGACGTAAGTCATTTTGGGCGGCCTTTGAGAAACGTCTGTATGCAATACTGCCTGCGTTCTGTGAAAAATGAAATACTAAGAGCTGTAAAGAATAAAAAGGTAAAAAAGCATGACCAGTAAAGTTCCGTATATTTGATAGTAAAAACCTCTAGGACCAGTAAAGTTCCGTATATTTGATAGTAAAAACCTCTAGGACCAGTAAAGTTCCGTATATTTGATAGTAAAAACCTCCAGGATCAATAAAGTATATTTGATAGTAAAAACCTCTAGGATCAATAAAGTATATTTGATAGTAAAAACCTCTAGGATCAATAAAGTATATTGATAGTAAAAACCTCTAGGATCAATAAAGTATATTGTGATAGTAAAAACCTCTAGGACCAGTAAAGTATATTGATAGTAAAAACCTCTAGGATCAATAAAGTATATTGATAGTAAAAACCTCTAGGACCAGTAAAGTATATTGATAGTAAAAACCTCTAGGATCAATAAAGTATATTGATAGTAAAAACCTCTAGGACCAGTAAAGTATATTGATAGTAAAAACCTCCAGGATCAATAAAGTATATTGTGATAGTAAAAACCTCCAGGATCAATAAAGTATATTGTGATAGTAAAAACCTCCAGGATCAATAAAGTATATTGTGATAGTAAAAACCTCCAGGATCAATAAAGTATATTGTGATAGTAAAAACCTCCAGGACCAGTAAAGTATATTGATAGTAAAAACCTCCAGGATCAATAAAGTATATTGTGATAGTAAAAACCTCCAGGATCAATAAAGTATATTGTGATAGTAAAAACCTCCAGGGCCAGTAAAGTATATTGATAGTAAAAACCTCCAGACCAATAAAGAAGGAAAAGGCGAGAGAAGCAAGGTAGTCAAAGCCATGGGTCCTAATGTGCTGTACTGTACTGTAAAGGTTCTTATTTCAGGTCATAAGCCACGGGTCCTAATGTGCTGTGCTGTACTGTACTGTAAAGGTTCTCATATCAGGTCACAAGCCATGGGTCCTAATGTGCTAAACTGTACTGTAAAGGTTCTTATTTCAGGTCATCAGCAGTCACACAGTAACAGAATTGTGAACACAACAGGGAAACATCTTGTTCACTTTTATCCTCGATATGAAACGGACAACTATAATATACAGCCTTTTGAATTAAAACTTAGCATCCAACAAAGTCAAATTTTGTTGCATTTTGGAAAAAAAAACAACACATTAAGCTATACCTGTTGTTCAAATTGCCCAATTACAAATCACAAAATCGTCTGTATGAAAGATGAGGTTCTTTTTTTAAGAGTAAATTTACCTCAGATTTGCACACATATGAAGTTTAACTTTCAAACAGGAATAAAGAAAAACTGCAGCAGACACAGGTAAATAATTTGGAAACACATAACATTTAGCAAGGGTTGAAGAAAGCATGAAACCTCAATGCATGCACTGGAAATAACAATTATTGCTCTACCCCCCCCCCCCCCCCCCAACAAACTTCCTAAACAATCTGGAATGTTCCAACCTCCCGCTCACAATCCAGAGACTAGCAACTCACTTCCTCTGTCGACACAACTTCTCAAAGAGGTCGAGCGTCTGTGTGTAGTTGGAGACCAGGACGACCTTGTCATTTGTCGTCATCTTGATGAGAGCCAGGAGTGTGTCGAGGACCTGAACTTTGCCTGGGGGACGAGCAAAACATTGAAACTTGTCTTATCTTAATATTATGTCTAATCAAAGATGGTAAACAATGTCAAGATGTAAAAAAATGATTCTCTTCGTTGTTGCCATGCGTCTGCTGTTGTCTCTGCCCTTGTCTTGTTTGGCTTTGTTTGCTTGTTTTATTTTGGTTTGAAATAGATATGCAGCCCGTGGAGTGATGCTGTGGTCATTTATTCGATTCTAAGTCACAGAACTATCGTATCTTGAGCAAAGCTCACATCAATAATCATGTCCTATCATCAGATAAATTGTCATATCATCACACTGCATGTGTTGAACCTAGCAGTATTATTGTTTTAGTAAGGTTTTACGGCGCTCGCCCCTAGCAGTTTTATAACATCAAACATCATGATACGAGATGAAAAAGTCTACAATAAAACGAGCTAAGTATTTTAAAACTCACCAGAGAGTTCGGGTTTGACAACTTTTGTGGTGTAGTCGTGAGGGAAGAACTGTAGGCTGTCGTCAAAACCATCCGCTCTCTCCACACATTTGTCGTAGATGAGGTCAGGATCTGAAAACACAACACAATATAAGTAAGACATCTCAACCGAACTAGACGATTTATCTGAAAAGATTTTTAAAAATCTTCATTGACACAATTCAGACTATTTAAGGCGAAATCTGTTTGACTCTTGGGGGTATACATTTTCCAAAAAGGAAAAACGGAAATAAATTTCAATTAAATTTCTTCTTTATTTAGCAGGGAATGGAACTCATGTTGTCTACATGTAGGGTGAAGAACTAACCATTACACACCAGATGTCGTTAATACCCGCACTTTATGAAAGTGATTAACGTAACAACTACATGAAATACAGTCGCACCTTGTAATCAACCGTAGAGTTTATCTGAACACAGTAAAATTTCTGATGGTTGAAGGAGGGCGGCACAAGGACCGTGAGCATTGAGGTTTTACCGCGACATAAGATAAAGAACTAAGGCCTTTAAAAACTACACAAGACCATTGTGAAAGAGGTGCTTGAAGGAAGGATGTGTTGCAGAAGAGCCAGGGGAAGACAAAGAGTAATGTGGACGGACAACATAAGAACATTGACTGGCCTGGGGATAGCAGAATGTGCAACGGTAGCTCGCGTCTGTGAAGGATGGAGGGTCATTACACGTCAGCACCTGAGTCAGAAATGACACCTCCAGGCAGGCATCAAGCTAGAGAAACATACAAAACGACGACTTACGATTGCAGAGTTTCTTGAGCTGTGTGATGGCGGCCAGACTACTGAACGTGCTTTTGCTGATCCCGTCGCACCGAGACATCATGGCCGACACAAAGTTCTGGTACAGAGTCCTCTGGACGGCCGACAGGCTGCAGCAGATCACATGCTCGACTAAACACGAGCGTCGTAAAGAGAGAAAAGGGATAATAATACAGTCACAAAAGTATTGTAGATTTGGTTCCCAATATGTGGAAACAATGGGATTAAATACTGTCCAAACTGGCCAAAAAATGGCTGAAAAAATCCCCCCCCCCCCCCCGCTAGTATTCAATTCCGCCAAAATCAGCGGAGAATGAACCTCCTTTCTCCATCAGAATTTTCTCAATTTCAACTTTGGCTATGATAAAAATAGACCAATGACATTAAGCTAGTGCTTAGCAAAGCAACTGCGTAAGAATTTGGTCGAAGAGTGAGAAATTAAGTGCTACTGGCACAGGAAGTAGAACAAATGGGTGGCCATTGTTAGTAAAGAATGTGAATGAGAAAAGTTAAATTGATCCTCTTTGAGAAATTTGAGCATGTGTATTAGAGTGGTTTGAGTTTGTGTGTATGTGCACACTCTTGTGTGTGTGTGTATGTGTGTGTGTGCGTGTATGTGTGTGTGTGCATGTATGTATTTGTGTATGTGTATGAGTGTGTGCGTGCGCACCCACATGTGTGTGTGTGTGTGTGTAGTGCAGGGGAAGGGTGGGGGGAAACATGGGTTATATTCACGGCCTGACAAAAAAACCCAAAGTGTCCAACCTCAAAATAACCTGTCTGGCCTCCAGTCTTGTAGAATGGAACCTCAACAAAACAATACTTGACAAAACAAACCAAAGCTGTCCCTGCGGTTTTATGCAAAAAATATTTCTGAAATTATGCAAACTGAGCCCAAAAATGTGAAATTGAGCAAAAAATGAACAAAATTTGCCAAATTAATCGGGGTGCATAAAACCACGGGGACAGGCAAAGCAAACACTCACTCTTGACGGGCAGGTACTTGGTGAGCAGCGACTGTGTCCTCCTGATGATGCACCGGTTCACGATGGCCAGCAGCTGCACACACACACACAGACAGACAGACAGACAAACAACTTAGTTATAGGAAAAGTTTAAAGGCAATTGCAACAGAATGAGGTCATATAAGTGCCGAAGATTAGAGGTGTTACAAGAGAGAAACAAACAAAAAACAAAATGGGAGGAGGTAAAGACAATTGATGTTTGATAGGAAAGAAGGAGAATATCACACTAGAGCACCCCCCAACCACAAAGACAGACAGACGGACAGATAGTCAGACAGACAAACAGATAAAACCTTATGCCAACTAATTGAGACAGCAATGTATACATTTACTCAACTCAAAAAGAGAAGACCCTTTCCATTTGTGAATGTATTTGACATGGCATCAGGTATGACTTTTTCATATGTCTATGACTCACTTTAGATTAGTCAGACAGTGCTAGATTAAAAGATTTAATGGCTACAAGACATTATTTCTTACAGTTTTTTTTCCTTTCCCTCCCTCTCTCTTCTTGTTCCAGATAGCACAAATCTAGTTTGACACTATATTCAGATGTCACAACAGGAATAAACTTACAGTACAGTAAAGGAAACAGAGAGACAATCACAATGATTTTAAAAGTTTAAGTCCATATTCACCACCGATGTTGAAATCAATGACCTATTTAAGTCTATTCAGACAACAAACACACACAAATAGAGGAAGACACATTCATCTCCCACCCACCTCCTGCAGTTTTTCCTTGCCCTTCCTGTGATCGTCATCGGTAGCGTCTGCGTCTCGTCCCCGGAGAATCGGCGTTTCAAACCGTTTCTTGAACTCTTGGGCCGTGCCTGGGAGAAACAACTCAGCATTTGAACAACTCACTCTTGATGGGCATTTGAACAACTCATCATTTATCATTTGAACAACTCATCATTTGAACAACTCATCATTTGAACAACTCACTCTTGACGGACATTTGAACAACTCACTCTTGACGGACATTTGAACAACTCACTCTTGACGCTCACTCTTGACGGACATTTGAACAACTCACTCTTGACGCTCACTCTTGATGGACATTTGAACAACTCACTCTTGACGCTCACTCTTGATGGACATTTGAACAACTCACTCTTGATGGACATTTGAACAACTCACTCTTGACGCTCACTCTTGACGGACATTTGAACAACTCACTCTTGACGGACATTTGAACAACTCACTCTTGACGGACATTTGAACAACTCACTCTTGACGGACATTTGAACAACTCACTCTTGACGGACATTTGAACAACGCTTTCAGCTGGCTTTGGCCAACGGAGAACAGATAGCCACAGAAAATATGCGTAAAAAAGAAATTAAAAAATAAACGTAACTCATATTGATCAGGAAAGTGGAACATCAGAAGGTTATATATATCCCTTCGGTGAAAACAAAGTTTATAAGAAAATACGAGTTCTAAACCGACAATTCAGACAGTTACATCTTTTAGGTGAAATCATAATAATATTACCAGCAAACTAAATTAGTTTTTCTATATATATTTAAAACACCAAATGAGTGCGCCTAAAATGTTGGGGCATAGCTAAATGTATAACTAAACAGTCTCAACATGGCACACTGTACTAAAATCAAAGATTAAAAATTTACCAACAACCTCAACGAAGAACACTTCAGAGAGAGAAAGAAAGAAAGAGAGAGGGAGAGAGAGAGAAAGAAAGTGAGAGAGAGAGAGAAAATTTATTTATTTAAAAGTCAGCAATTTCAACTGTTATGTCTTACACCCACATCAACACAATTTAGGTAATTTAGGAAGGCGGCAGCAGGAAGTACCGACCTAGGATTCCTTTGTTGACAAAGTGCAGGAGGCTGAAGTACTCCAGCAGGTCGTTCTGTATGGGCGTCCCCGAGAGGAGAATTCTCCGCTTGGCCTTGAGGTTGGTCAGCGCCTGGTACGTCTGGTTCTCCGAGTTCTTCAGCCTGTGACCCTGAGCGAGGAAAGAACAGACAGCATGATAATGGACATGTTTAGCTTGGTATCAGTACGGGTTTAACGCCTCTTCCAACTCTATAACAACTGCCCTGCTTTGGGTAAGACTGTCATAAGTCATTTTGAAAAGTGACATCTTGCACTGAGCAATCGAGAGAAGTGCCCTGGCCATGCAGGTGTTAGGGGAAATGAAAAAGCCGACAGATTGGCTGGTGAGGCCACCTTAGTTGACAATACGGTTCAACCAGATAGGGTCGAGACCCTGAAATGTCTCTCTCGCCAGCTGATTGAGGAGGAAGATAAGGAGGCAGAGGCCAGTACTGCCGTGGAGAGGATGATGTTTTTGGGAATAAAAAAAGGAAGAGGAAAATCTGGCATCTTTGCAGGAAAGAACAGAAAAACGTTCAACCAGATGTGCACTGGCACAATCAGTAGAAGGACCCTCGGCAACATTTTGGAGAGAGCAACGGAGCATCAATGGACATGTCCGGAGTGCAGGGATGTTGCTTCCTGAAACAATAAACAATAAACTGAGCAATCGATAAAGCTCTATGACTACTATTTCCACAGCACTCGGCGCACACTACTTCATCAGTCTACACAGAGCAGCCTACAAGAGAAAAGCACTGTTCTAGTGCAAAGGAATTCCCTAAGCACCAAACTTCATTTTTTTTCCTTTCTCTGAACTAATCATGAAAATTACGAACATCAAAAGTAGAAAGACTTCTTTTTCTTCTTCTTGATCGCATTACACTTGAAGCCTGGTATCTATGGTATACTGGGCCGTCCTGCTCAGTTCATCTGTCGGCCCGTATAGCTTCTCTTGCAGCGTCAGTGGGGTTGGCCACGTTTCCTGTCTCAGGGCCCTGTGTGTCTTGCAGTGCTGAAGGATGTGTTCTACAGTAGAAAAACTATTTATCAGCTTCATCCTTTCATTAACTGTTTATCTCTGGCAGCTCCCGGTAGGAACCACTGTGCCGGTGAGTCACTGACAGTAGTTCGGGCACATTCCTTTACAATGACTTCGACATCAAATTACTTTTCGGCAATTTCCGAAAACAGGTCGCTTATGCCGGAAGTTCATTCATTAGATGAAGAACTATCAAAATAGGTTTGCTAGTTTAGATTTAATGACCTATTTAAAGACGTTTTTGTCACTTTTAGATTTAGCACCAAAAAAGAGCCCCCGGCATGGCGGGTTTACCCCCATCAGAGATAAAGAGTTAAAAAGACCACTCACTTCGTCGCAGATGACCAGTCCGACCTCGCCCTTGTGCAGCACGCCGGCATGAAGTCGGAACGTCTCGTACGAGATGATGAGCACGGGGAACTGTGTCCTGCGCCCCTGCTGCTGCATGAAGTGGACTGGGTGGGTGTGTGTG